TATCTATTGCGGAACTCATTATCGCAATAGACCCATCTTTTGCATTGGTCAAAGATTCTAGTCTTCGACTCAACAAGGTTTGTTTAATGAGATAAGAGTCTTCATCAAACATAGACCAATGAGTATGTTATTTAGATTTAGGCGCTAGATGTAGTCACCTCACCAATCCAAGATGCAACACCTATTGAACCAACTACCCCTACTAAAGAAGTCTTTCAATCTACTTTAGATATTATAAACTTGGCTAATGAAAATGCTCAATTGTTACTTGAAGTGTTTGCATTTAAGGCCATCCCATTAAGCGTGGACACCTCCTTGGTGCAATTGGACTCTCAAGGACCAAAAACATTTGCATTTATTGTGCCTCCCATTGACGATGTTGATAGTATAAGTGTCAACTTTGATGAAGATGCATAAATGGAATGATTGCAGGAGGAACGCACAATTGATGAGGAGTATTGAGAACCCCTTGTGTATGATTCTACTTGGAGATCTCCTTACTTCAACTTGAAAAAATACCTCCAAAAGTGTTATCTAGAAGAGTAACTCATTACCATCCATCCTAGAATCACCCTTGCAATAAAACTAAGATTATTGGACCTTTATGCTCCACCTTGTTTTCATGCTCATACCCTTTATCTCATCAATCAACTATGTCATGAACTTGAAGATGAATGTCATCTTCAAGTTTCCTTAGAGTTGAGTTATAAGGGTACCCCTCATCAATTTCCTCTAATGATTGGAGGACAACAAAGGATGTGCATGATCCAACCTTGGACTAAGTTCTCCATTGTTGATTCTAGACCTAAGGCTACCTTACACTCTGTTTGTGAAGGAAAGGAGAAGAAGGAATAATATATAAAGGCTATGAGGTACATGAGGTATGCTCATTTCCTTCAGTTGGTGTTTCTAGCACAGACAAATGGTATCTTATCCACTTTGCAGGACGTTGCTACTAGTAAACTCCAACTCTTACCTTGACCAGTCCAACTACCAATAACGCTCTCTACCAACCACGTCACGTCTACCTCTATCTCACTCATTTTAATTTCATGTTTCATATTTTTTTACCTTTGATTATTATTATTATTATTATTTTTATTCTTACCCTGAGGCTTTGTCTACCTCACTTTGTTTGACTAAATCAGAACCAACCACACCAGCACTTGAAGAGTCGCAACATGATCACAAGCATGCTTTGACTATCATTTTTGGCTTCCTTATCTAAACTCTTTTGCATCCCTTTATAGGCAAGTATGTTATGAATGCAAGTTTCATAAGTTGCTTACTGTAGACACCTAATTTCATCTAGGACATGTAAACAAGGAAATAGACCTTTAGTACGAGACAAAGGAATTCCCGAAGGCCTGAATCTGACATTAGAATGGACCAACATGACATAGGAATGGCCTATTGACATCAAAAGGCACCAAGATGACATCAGAAGGCCCAAAGACCCAAAAAGGATGAGTTAGGGGCCCGGAACAAGTCATTCCCAATCTGGAACGGGTCATTCCAAACTTTTAAAATGGCTTATAAATCCTAGGTCAAAACGGGGCGTTCCCATTTCAGAATGAGATGTTTTGACCTAGGTTATTATGAGTGAATTTCAAATCCGGAACAGACCATTATAATCTCAAAATAGGCCATTCTAGATCAAAAATTACTCATAACAAACTAATCCAAAACAGCCCGTTTCGATGATCAAAGTGGTCATTTTGGTTAAACCTAACATCTATATATACGAGTCTCATGTACAGTGGTTGGGAGGAATCATGTAAATGTCTTAGGTTAATCGTGTAGTTTTAAATTTAAGTATGTAAATAATCATTAATAAATGGGACTTAAATATTTTGAACTTTTATTTTCATTTGTATTAATTTCATCATAGGGTACCGATATAGGGCGTTGTAGGGTGTCTAATACCTTCCCTACTCGTAATCAATCTTTGAACCCAATTCTGGCTATGAGAGTCATTTTGGCAATTTAAAAAATCTTTTCCTTTTTTGATGTTTTGGGTAAAATATTGGTGGCAACTCCTTTGAACTTTTTTCTAAAATCATTAATTAGGGATTAGTTTGGTCTCCGGACATTCCTTAATTAATGAGATTTTTAAATGAAAGTCCAAACCATCTATAGGCAAGATCAAAATTTTTCGGATTCTAAGACTTACCAAACTCAATAGGAAGATTAACTCAGACAAAGAAAATTAGTTTTGGCCTAGCTTTTGCTAGTGTCAAAACAAGAGTAGAAATTTATAAGTTTTTGAAATTTAAAAGTAATTTTTTTTTGACAAGTTTCGTTTTGTTGAAATTGTATTATGCTTTACACATTTCATATTCTTTATGATTTGAACATGTTTTATTGGATGAACAAGTCCTTATGATGTTTTATTTGTACATATTCTCAGGGGGAGTATGTCTTCTTCTTCTTTTTTACTAAGTTTTTCATATTTATAATGTTTTCTTTTATATATATTTGTCTTGATATATATATATATATATATATATATATATATATATATATATATATATATATTTATTTATTTATATATTTAAACTTTAAAATTATTAATTTTTTAATGGGAGACATTCAAATTACACAATTATAATATTTGAGAGACTAAAATTGTTCAATTAAAAATTAAAG